TGTTCAACTAACTTATTCATTCTAAACATCAATATATTTATTATATTCCTGATATTAATAAACTCTGATAGAAATGATTGAAAAATAAATTTCGCTCTTTATTACTACATTCTTCAATTGCATAGAATGAAATGTGGCCACAAAATTTGATAAATGTACCTAACATATAATATTTCATAAGTGAACCAATCAAGAATTAAAACGAATGACATGCTTTTGCATAAAAACAGTGGAACTAAGTAACGTATTTATATAAAATAATTAAATAAAGAATATTTTAAGAGTACATTGAATTCAATAATTAAATTAACAAGTAAGAAATATATTAAGGGAACATTTAATTCCATAATCAAATTAACAATAACGAATATATTAAGAGAACATCTAATTCAATAATTCAATTAATAAGCGATGAACATCTTCAAGGAGCATTTCATTCAATAACTCAATTATTAAATAAAGAATAGTTTCAAAGAATAATTCGTATGACGAATCGCAATACGAAGACGACGCGCGTATTTAATCGAGACATTTTAATATTCGCAATCGTTACGATTGTTATCACCGCAATAACTATGCGGTCAGCGAAGACCGCGGATCTTCGTGGAAAATAAAATTCGCCTACATTATTTCAACGTTTTTTGCACCTCGTCCATTAATTTTGATGGCGCGTCAAATCCGCAGTCCACCGATAACTGAATATTCATGAAGCACCCAACGCTTCCGCCTTCCTGTCGCAAATATGAAAAAAGAAAAACTTAGCACAACTGTGCAAGCTTTCGTCACCGGCTGTAGCCGTTCTGCCTGTTGTTCGTCCACGTCGCAAAACAGGCCAATTATCGTCGGCCCGGATTTAACGGGCCGAAAACAAGGAAAAATTCGCCGGGCAACACTCGGGCAAGAATGCGCGCAAAGCAAGAATCCGGGGAGAAGGCCGCGCGCGCGCGCCCGCGCGACGGAAAACGTTTGCCACGAATTTACAAAATTAATTTCGCGGACGACGACGTAAGCGGCTGCATAGAATCAAGCGGGCCCGGAGAATGCAACAAAGGAGAACTTTAAATTTATCATATTACGGCCGGGAACCGCGACAAAGACGAAGTTGCGTGCGCGAAAAACAGCATGCGGCCGCACGGGCGCGGACGGGCGACCCGTTTTTCAAGTCGCTCAGACGTATTAGCAGCCTTCATTGTGCTCGGGAACGCGAATTTCTGGCTGGAACCGGCGAAACGAATTTTAAGTTCGCGATCTCGTTTGCTCCGTTCATTTTATTCGATTTATTTAGCATCGGCCATTCACGGTCTCCCTCCTCGCGATTCGTTCTGCAGGCATCCCATTGTAATCGGATAAATTCAATTAACAACGCAAGTATTGACAGGATTCGTGCAATTTGGATTTTCTGTAGTTTTCGTACACGAAAAGAATAGTTCGATTTAGAAGTGCGATTCGTATAATTTATCATTGGAATGTACGTACGTGGAAAATGATTTTCGTGCCTGTATTTCTTGCAACTAGATTTAAAGAAGCATGGAGTTTCGTGGAACTTTCTTAACAATAATGAACTTTATTGAATTTCCTTGCGGATTGCAAGTGGTCCATCTGCTTACAAACCAACGTACCATACTATAATATAAAATAAATAAAATAGGACAAAATAAAATATGATAACTTCTATAACGAATTTAGAAAATTTTATAAAATTACACTTTTGATGGAACTTTCTTTTCCTAAACATTTTCTTATTTTAATCTATTTTATATTTGACATCTGTTCGTGTTGCTCATATCATCTAGGAGTATCGTGTTATAAAGTATAACAGCAAATTACTTCTCCTTAAACTTTCATCGAATCACATCATACTATAGTTTCGAACATACATTAACGTTTATAAAATCGTATACATAAAATGCAGAATCAAATTTTATATCATAGTAGAAAGCAGATATAAGAGTATAAAAATCAGGGTTCATTAATAGTGAGGATAGAGATAAATACTAATGTAGGATATTATAAATGACGCTGTAGTTTTTTTTTATTTTAAGAATAACGTTATACATTAATTATACTTAATTGACATTTATAAACCGGGATATGTCCTCTCCATAAAATAAAGTCTACTTTCTACTTCATTCTACAATTACGTAAAAAAAGAACACCCTATATCAATCTTTTTTAAAAATCTCCATTAACTGAGTGTTCATGTATTTTCTCATTTCCCAAAAATTATTGTCTTATTTAATATAATGTAATGCAATAAATATAATATACTACCCGATTTATACACTGCATTTGTACGTATTATTTCGTATAAAATTTTTGCGGCTTGAATTTTCTTCTCAGCCAATACGAACCTCAGACG